GGCCAGCATCGGCCACCCTCAGTGGCGTCAGCCCAGTAGAGAGGCAGCTGCAGTCAGAGGAAGCCCTGAGCAGTCACAGTCAGGAAAAGCACAACAAACAGTACGGAAGGTTGGGAAGGCCAAAGAGGGACAAAGAGACGCCACTTTGAGACCACATGAATGTCCCTCCAGAGGGCTTTCCCTCTCCAGAGGCCACAGAATTTTCTGATCCGAGTTCTTCCCTTGAATTCTTCCACATCCCCAAATTTCACAACTACCTTTGCCCATCTTCTTCCCTGCCTGCCAGAATGCCCCTTAATATCCACCCATTTTTACAAAGCTCTAAATATATGCTTTGTATTTTCCAAATACATTTATGCTGCAAATGATCGATTCTTCAGCAATATTGTTACCTTGTCTTCCTCAGACCTGTCTCAATATCATGACGTATTGCAACACAGTTTCATCCATCTGCTCCTTTCCAAATAGTGTCTAAACCTGGTAGTTTTTGCGAAGACTGATTCCTGCTCAGTTGTACTCAATCAAGTGAGGGTGTATTAGAAAGCTGGGCAATTTCATATTACCCAATCAATCAAAAGAGGGAGGCCTGACATCACAAACCTGCCTCTTCATTACAGGAGCCATGCAAACATAGGCTGCCCTCTTAAGAACAGTTCCCCAAGCTTCTAATCAGACTCCACCTGCTCATGGGCTGGCTAGCCTCAGGCCCCATCAGGTCTCACCTGGGACATTTCCTCCCCTGTAGCACAGAGGCGAGCATTCTCTAAAAGTTCCCAGGTGGACTGGAAGTAAGAGCCATCCAGAACTATGAATGCAAGATGCACCACAAATGATGTGCTTCCATCATGGCCACGTGCTCTGCAGTCAGGCTGCCAGCCCAAGCGAGGGCCACCAGGTCGACCTCAGTGACCAACCTTGATGAGAAAGACTCCAAGTAAGAGTCCTGCGGCATGTGGTGCCTCTAAAAGAGGCAGGCTGGGAGGATCCTTGACCTTTCGCAATCCTTTGGGGTGACCTGGGAAACGGGCATAGCTTAACATCCCACTGTCCAGAGCTCCCTGGTGTTCTGTCTGCTCCCAACACCTCACAGTGCACCCCTGGCAGACCACAGCCTCAGCCAAGGAGGGGTGGCTGGATTCTGGTGGGTGGTCTTCCCAGAGCCTGTGAGTATCATCTAAGGTAACATGGCTACTGCTCAGCAGACCAACTTGACAGCCAGGCCTCCAGTCCTCCCCTTCTCTCTGTTCACTTCTAAAAGAAGTCCTTCAGCCGTTTGTTTCAGACCAGCCACACAGAGCCTTTTCAGAGCCTGATGCTCATGCCATCCTTGATGTGCCATCTCCACTGTCCTCCCTACCTGTGAGGTTTGACTTGATTCCAATTTTGCAGGCCTGCCCTGGCCTGGTCCCAGGCACAGAGGCGACTGATCCAAACTTACATAAACTCATTAGGAGTGAAAATACCTTCCTCACATGCCTCAAGTTCATTGCTTTGAAATTACACGCTTATAGAAACTCTTCCAAAAAACCTACGTTCTGTCTAAAGACTTTCGGAAATGTAAATAAAATGAAGAAGCATAAACAGAAAACAATTACTACTTGAGCCTGTGGGCCTTTGAAGATCCACAAAGTGCAGCTGGCCCAGCTTTTCAAGATAAGACACAAAGAGGAGAACGCCTGGGCCTCTGCCCCTATCAAAAGGGGAGAGGTGGGGGAGCAAAGCTACTCTAATGACACATTGCCTTTGACTAGATACCACAAAGCACTGATCCCATGCAACTGGAACAGAGCCTGCATTCCCCGACCCCAGCACCCAACACTCTCTGCGGAGATATTCTGGAGACGTTTGATGTGATGGGACTTACCAGCAATTAAAATGCTGCTTAACCTGGGAATACAGTTGTGCCGAGGGCAGTCCCATCTATTTGTTTCTATATCATCCGTGACCGCTGTCATGCTGGAAGGGCCAAATGCTGAGCAGCTATGACAAAGACTCTACAGCCCACAAAGCCTAAAATAATTACTATCTCGTTCTTCAGAGAAAAGGGATGCTGACTCCTGCTCCCCATGTTTTCTTGTAGACACAAGGAGGCTTTGAAATGCTTCCGCCTATTGCCATGAAAACCACTTACTTGACATCACTCCCCTCCCATGAACTGATCCTGTCCTGACAACACTCAACCAGGCAACCCCGCGTCTCCACTCACAGGGCTTCCACCATGGTCAAGAGGGACTAACACGACACCACCAACCACCTGAGTTGAGAGACAAAAATCAAGACGGGAGCCCAATGCAAACCTGGTTAGTCTACATCTCTGTTGCTTTCTCTTCTTCATGCGTTCAGGACCTCCTTGCAAGGAAAAGGTCCACTCCGAGTCACCCCACCGTCCCTTCCCTCCAGCCTTCCACCCTTTTCTATGTGTACTTAAGGGGAAGCGTCCAACGTCCAGCTCAGGCGGCCAGGACGAACAAAGCAAACTAAGCAAAAGAAATGTCTGTCCTAGCAGGAATTTAAAAGCTAAAGTCTTAGAGATCCACTAGCCACTGGCACACACTGAACGCAAGTCTCTTGGCTGGGTTCCTTTATCTAAAGCACAGCGCCCTCACATGGTGCCAAAAGGAAGGACAGCCTTGTTGAAAAGTTGGCTCAGATGCCATCTGTGAGATGACCCAGCACTCCGAGAGGATTTTTAAATCAGTGTTATCCAGATCTCCACCCTCGGCTCTTTCACAGATAGCTCCTTGCTGGAAACTTTACACCAAGAAGTATAAACTCTGACCTCTACAGAAACTCACTAAACCGCAGCAAATGGGATTCAGATGTTTCCACGTACAGTACTGTGATGTGACCTAGACTTTAAACACTTTGGCAAGAACAGGAAAAATGATGTGGGCCTTCCAGTCCCTCCCAGAACATGATACAGCCTTGACCCGAGCCCTGCCGTGATCTGAGCCTTTCTCACTCCTACTTAAGCCTCCTCACCCCCAGTCCAGACTCCCTACCCCAGTTCCACACTAGCTCCCACTAGGCCCTCTGCACAGCCTATACCACTTTCCTTGTTTCACCAAAGCTGCCAATTTCTCCCAGCTGAGTGAAAGTGGATCACACCCTAATCAGTACTCAGAAAATTTCTGAAAGGAGAACTAGGCTTATCCTAGGAAATTGCACCCAGAGTTTCCCATAGTGTTGGAAGGAAGGCAGAAGCCTCTCGCACAAAAACCTGGCCTCCCTGGCTCTGCTGCAGAATCTCCATGGCTTGCTGCAGATGGGGCCGTTAGGGCTAGAGAATTCTAGATGATAGCACAAGATAAGGGGATGGTGGAGAAGCAGTCTCTTATGCCTGGGAAGGACAGACAGAGATAATACCAGAAACTGCCTCCCCAGAGGCCAGTCATGACAAAAGATAGAGAAAACCCCCCCTGTGTTTCATGCTCTCAGTGGATACTGCCTTTGCTGGGGGCAGCCCATCTGCTGGCCATGTGTGCTCCTTGGGGGGGAGCACGATGGGGGGGCACGATGGGGAAGCCCAGGGGTGTCTGGGCACCAGTGTGGCCACATGACCAAGTGTGAGCACAGGCAGGGCGAAACTATGCAAGAGCACCTCCTCCCCTCGGAATACGAGCAGGGCAGGGTCTTGGGGAGTTCCTTCCCAGCAAGGGAGCCTCTAGGGGCAGGAACCAATCGGACCATTGGGTCGTATCACCAATGGAGGCACCCCTCAGGCCTAGGTGGGTGCAAATGCCTCCTAGTGGCGTAAGAAAAGAGGACTTCGCACCCTTCCTCTCCTGTTTCTCCTATTTCAACAAAGGAGAGTGGGGTTCACCTTGACCTTCCTGGCTACCCCTCCAATCTTAGTTTTCCAGGTACAGAAAGGGTGGTGAGTGCGCCCCCCCAACCCTAGAGCTATACACCTGTGCAGATACAGCGTTCCCGCTACACCTAGGCGAAGTGCGCCTCACGGTCCAGGGCCCTGACGAGTTCATCCCCGCTCGATCTGCGGCCCCTGGGCAGGCTGGGGCGCGCACCCCTCCGCAGCTCCAGCTCCAGCTCCGCACCGCCGAGGCCCGGCGCCGCAGGCGGGAGGCCCTGGGCTCGGACGCTTCCCCTCCCGCCCCCTGTGCTCACGGACCCTCTGAGAGGTCGGGGTGGGAGAGGCGAGGAGCAGGGTCCCCTCCAGACTCCGGGACGCTAGACTTCCCGCAGAAGCGCTGCACCCCAGCCCTCCACGGGGACCACCCGGGCGCCGCCACAGACCCGAAAGGCAGACCCGGAGGCGGCGCGGGCAGTACCAGGCCGCCGGCGGCGCCGCAGGCGCTGAGCGAGACGAGGGAGCCGGGGTGGCCGAGCACGCGTCCCGAGTAG